AATAATTTATATTTTATATCAAATTTCAACTATTTAATTATTAAATTTAAGGTTCTTAATTAGATATATTAAATTTATATTTTAAAATTTTTAAAATTATTTAATATTTTTAAAATAAATAAATTCCTCTTTATTTCAAAAAAGATATATTAAAATATAAATATTTTATTTATTCAATTTTTATAAAATTTGATATACACATTCAACATTATGAAATTATTTTTATAACTCGAAAGAAGTTATACTTATATCTCTTATTTAGTTTAAAATAAAAAATTATTTTTTAAACATTAATAATTAAAGTCATATTTTTTTCATTTTCTTTTTCTTTTTTATTCTTCCTCTTACGCGACTTTTGAGCTTCGCCTTCTCTATATAAATAACCTTTCCACGCTCCCTCAAACTACCGTAATCGCCGATCCTCTTATCTCCGACCACCGTTGTCTCTCGCCGGTTAGTTTCCTTCGCACTTTTCCACAATCGCATGTTCCTGAGTTCGGGTTAACACAACGAAACCTAACACTGAATTTTACGTAGGAAGTACAACTATCAATACCATGCTAGCTGCATGCACCCTTTTTTGTCACTTTCAGAATCTCACGTAGAAATTCCCCTCCAATTTTGTTGTTTCCTTTTTCCTTTTCACTTAAAAAAGTACTAGTATGAAATTCCCTAGTATACCCTTTTTGTAGTTTATTTGAGTGTATATATGTGGCTTCCCGTTGTGGGTTTATGGAATACGTTTTTCCATAATTTGACGTTTTTCTGAAGGCAACACCGTTATTATTTATTATCTCTTTAAATATAGGACTCACTAGGGTTAGTTTGGTGGAATTGGAGTAACATGCATGAAGTCTTAGGTTTCAATCTCATTACACCAGAAAAATCTCTTTATTTATAGATTTATATTAACTTTGTTCATCTTTTACATATTTGCTACTACGAGAGTGAATCATATGAGAACTCTTTGTTATTGTGAATAATGAGAACATATGATTACAACCGTTAGGTTAAAATTGATTATTCAATCAATTCTATGCGATTTTCTTCCTTTTTAATTGAAGATCGCACATAATTTGTAATTAAATACCCAATCTGAATCATTATTTTAATGTATTGGTTATAATTAAATGTTCTGATTGGTCACAATAACGCAGAGTTCTACCAAGGGAGTCTAGGTATAGTTCACTTGGTTGAGTAGGAGGGTTTTTGTAAACCTCCTAGTACTGGGTTCAGAAAAAAGGAAAATAACCAAGGGTTCTCACCTTATATGCTCCCTTGCTAGTTGCTAATATTATATAATTTTGTTCATTCTATTTTTTTATTTTTTATCATCACTAATGCAGTTGTATATATCTGTGCTGATCAAGCACTGTAATTGTGATAGTTATGTTTTAATGTATTTTTTGTATTAATTATCCGTGTAGACTGTGGAGGATTAGAAATTGAATGCAGTGCATCTGTTGGTGAATTGATTGTTCTAGACTGGTGAATTGAAATGATTATCGGTGCCAAATGTAATTTTAAACAGGCTAACTAAGATTATCCTCAGTGAGAGAATATAATATGCTGTTTTTGTTTCTGGTTTTTCTTTTCCAGAATTCATTTTCGGGTGCAATGCCAAAGAGAAAAGGAAGAGGACGACCAAAAGGGTCTAGTGCTCAGAAAAAGGTTAAAGAGAGTGCAGATGGTGAATTGGTCATTCCAAATATCCCCTTAAAGGTGTTGAAAACTGAGCCTGGCTTTATTAAGGAACATGAAGGAGGTACACATAGATTGACTTGGTCACATTCTTGTATTTTGGAGTTTTATCTTTTTGTTGTGCATATGCTAATTGTTGTTAAATATCAACTTTGTGATTCAGGTACCAGTATGCTTAGGAAAAAGGGACCAGGACGGCCAAAAAGATCACAGACTCAAAATTGTCAAGAGAGTGACCACAGCAACTTGAATAGTTGCTTTAATCCATCAAATATGGTTGAAGTTGGTCCTGGATGTGAAGAATCAGAAGATGCAGGTATGGTTACCATAACAACTGGGTTATGATTTCTCTTTTTTTTATTTATTTCATCTTCTTTTTTCTCTATTCTATAATAAAATTTGTTAAACCTCCGCTCCACTCCACTTAGTACACTATGCTCCCTTGGTTCCGCTTCGGCATCTGCGAGCCCATAGAATATGAGTCATGAACATTACTTTATTAGCGAATTTGATGTAGTATTGATATTATTGGGAGAGCCCATTCCATCATAAAACTTTTCCCTACGACAAATTTGTTCATATCAAGAAGATTATCCAACGGCAATACTTATAATTGTATGCTAAAATAGCTCTGATAATAAGTAATATTTATTTATTTGCTTGGTATGTCTACTAAGGTAATGCGATGAGTTACCATGTTAAGAAAAGAGTTCTAAACTACTCTCTCTCTCTCTGCTTCTTCATACTCTGTGACTGTTACCTATATTGTCATCATTTTTTTTTCTGATTCCCTTGGGCTTGGTAGATAGAAGAGAGAGCATGTATGCTGATAGTTGCCTTATATTCAAGTATTTAACATTCGTTGTTTTAAAATACAGTTGTGCCCAACAAAAATAGACAAGGACTACCAAGTGGATCAGGGGGGCAGTACTGTCCAGAGAATGCTGATAGCAATAATTTTTATAGTAATCCATCAAATATGATGGAAGCCAGTCCTGGATGTAAGGAGGAACAAGAGCAGGAGCAGGAGGCTGGTACTACTAATTAGTATATTTTTATTGTCTTGTTTATTACTTATATACCCTCTTTTCTCTAATTAAAGGCAATTTTAAGGTTGTCACTGAAAAGGAATGGTTAATACTGCTGTTGGGCAAAAAGAATGACATGCATTTCATTCAGATTACTTTTCCCTGAAAAATATCGTGTTCTAAACCTAAATTGGCTTATTAAATAATTCAGTTGTAGATTTTAAGCTTGCTGGTTGTCCTGTATGGCATTATTGGAATTGATTGCTAGGAACATTTCAATAACTGACGTATTTTCATTTTTTTTTTTTGTGTGTTTAAGATGCAGTTGACGTGCCTAGGAAAAGTGGATTATCACAACCAAGAGAGTCAACAGACCAGGAGAACCATCAACAAAATCCAGATGGAAAGTTGATTATGTTCATTTAAGTGGTGTCTTTTATTTTTGGCTGTAAGGTTCTATTTGACACTTGTCTTATTTTATGTTGTGTTTCAGATATTGTCATGCCTAAAAAAAAGGGAAGAGGACAGACAAGAGGGCTGAGTCTTCAAAGGAAGCGTCGTCAGAGTGCAGACGGAAAGTTGGATGTCATCATTCATCCTACGAAGCTGGTGGCAGTAGGTCCAGGCCGCAGTGATTTCATTACTGATCTTTCTCTTATTGTTCGCCAGAATGCCCGTCTTAATGTGCGCCAGTGGAAGAAGGTTCCACAAAGTACTAGGGATACAATAGTGGAAAAAATTCTGGTATGTATGTTGTGACATTGATATGTTTTGTTTTAATCTTGATTTGTAAAAGATGTTTGATGATTCATGATGCTATACGTTAAGGAGTAGATTTGCATTTTTGGCTGGTTTCTGGGGGTCATTCCTTGGTTTCTCTTCCATGGGGAGATGGGGCTTATTTTAACTAACATGCAAATGGTTACTCAATTAGGACACTACCATGCTTGTATGCACGAGGGATCATCAGTTTGTGGAATTTTAAAAAAGGCATGGCTATGATTGTGGGTGTGAGCGGGGCACAAATGTGGATTTTGATGTGCTGATGGTTATAGATATTTTGGAAATTAAAAAAATAGACAAAAGGTATTTGTATAGTGGTTAATGGTTTGGTGAATAAGGGTAAAGCTATGGTGAATATAGTAAGTAGTGTGCTAAGCCCCTTTATGTAATAAGGGATCATTCTTTCATTTTGATTATGTAGGAATAAGCAGAGATATATGAACTAATCATCATGATATTTCTTTGTGATTATTTGTGTCCATGCCTTTTATTTTCTGTTGTGCAAAGACTGATTTATTACATTCTGTTGATATTTCATCCTGTGCTATTCGATATTTGGATTATTCCTAATTAACTTGTTTTCGTCTAAGAATTTGTTTTGAAGTTAGTTACAGAGAAGTGAAGAGTAGCACATGTATAAATGTATAAATATAATAGGAGAGAGGAAACGAGAGGATATCTGTGTGAGAATTGGGCTTTTGGGCTATGGCGCTGCAGACCCTCAGTTATGCAAGTTAGGCAATGTTGAGGGGAAAAGTCCCTTATTCTTTCTAATAAGATACCAGGTTTCTATCTCTCTAGCTTGTTCACTTCGTTGTGTGTATGTGTGCTTTAAGTCAAATCTTGCCTTCTTGTCTGTAAGGCTGCTCTATTTGGTCTGTTCTGTCCTTTCGGTGATTTTTTTTTTATCCTTCCTATCTTCTATTATTTTATTCAAATTTGTTTGTGGATATATTGGATGAAGTAGTTTGATTTGCTTCAATTTTTGTTAACAGAACAATTGGAGACTTCCTGATACAGATGTGGTGAGGAAGGCTATTCTGAATGAAGCAGGCCGTTTATATCAGAATTGGCGCAGCAGGCTTCATGATTATTACTTAAAGTTTGAAACAAAGGAAGAGGCCTTGAAGCATGTCCCTGATGATATTAATAATTCTGATTGGCAATTCTTAGTTGATTATTTTACCAGCCCTTATTTTGAGGTACACTAATTTGTGCTCGTCTATCCGCCATTCTGCCCTGTGAATGTCAATAAATTTCATAACATTCTCTATGTCAATAATCTTCAGATAATGAGTGCAATAAACAAGGCAAATAAGGCAAAACATCTGCTGAAACATACTGCAGGGTCAAAATCCTTTCTAGCAGTTAGCTATGATGCAGTGAGAGTTCTGCTTTACTCGATCTTTGTTTATGATTGTCAAATTTAATTGGAAGTCATTTTTAGTGTACTGTTTTATAATTATAAGCATATAATTTTAACAGCGTGACCCAATGACTGGAAAGGAGCCCAATTCGCAGACTTTTTGGCAGATGACACACAAAAGGGCAAATGGGGAATGGATTGACGAAGCATCGAAGGAAGTCAATGTAATTGCATTTTAGATTACTCATTAGTGCGATATTATCTGTATATAATTTGATTTGATGTTGTACAAAATTATTGTAGGACAAAGTTGCTGAACAAATTAATGAGAAGAGATGTCAGATAGAAGATTCCCAGGAAGTGGTGGAAACAAGTGAACAAGAAATTATTAATACTGCCTTCAAGACAGTGGTTGGGAAGAAATCATATATGCAAGGTTTTGGAGAAGGACTAAGGTCATCATCATCATCATCATCAAACTCCAATACAATTCAACAGCTGCAAGCTGAATTAGATGCCCAAAAGAGAGAGACAGAGAATGCGAAGAAAGAATGCAATGAAATAAGAGCTAGACTTGTTGAGGTTAAGTCTCATCTAGAGGAGGAGAGGCTGAAATGCAAGGAGATAGAGGCTCGTCTTTTGGATCGTCAAAATGAGATGCAAGAGATCAACTGTCAGGTTCAAGCCGCCATCCAGGCTGCATTATCTCAGTATCTACCTCCAGTAAGTATAAAAGATAAATATATAAGTTGACTCTAATTTTGAAATAAAGTAATTTTTAGTGTAGGATACGAATTTTCATTACTAATGCTTTTGAATCATATGTAATATTCGAATTTTTTTCTGAATAGTACCAAAAGATCTGACCTTTGGTATCAAAGCAGTTGTTTTACAGATTAAATGGCAATATATTATCAATTTTTACAGTTAGCCCTTGATACACCTATAAATCTGATTCCTGTCAATAGTTTCATTTTGATGGATATGAAATAGGAGGAATATACGAGGAAACATCTTTGTATAGAATGGGGCTTTATCATTGCTGGCCCTTCCATGAGTAGCTTAGATTTTATTACATAATAATATCATAGATGGTATTATTTTTCTTTTTTTATTGAACTTTGAAACTAGTAATTTGGCTACTAAGCTGAGGATTTGTCAGCAGTTTAGGTCTTTAGGAGAACTAGTTGAGTTTGACCATTTAAAGATTATATATTTTGGGTTTGGTTTTTGTTTTGGGATTGCGATAACTATTTAGTTGTTTCTGTTCTAGATTTCTTTCCTTCTTCGTCATCTCGAATCCTTTTATGCCTTCACTCTGTGTGCGTTTATTATTTTTTTACATATTTAGTATGAATATTACATCTTTAAATTTTCTTCCATTGTGTTATTGTTTCAAAAAAATGGCATTAACCGCTGTCTTGTCATTATAGAAAACCGAAGCAGAGACCTCATCAAAACATAGAAGAAAGATTGCAGAACTTGAAGCACAACTCCATGAGGCAGAGGATGTGATAACAGATATTAGATCAGAATTAATTAAATATCGCATGGATTAGGAAAGTGAAGTATGCAATTACAAACTTTTTAGTGCATAATATATTACAATTTTAGTAGTATTTTTTGGACATTCGAGTAGATGATCAGCTATTGCCAATTGTTAAACAAATTATTTATAGCAGTATTTTAGTATGAGCAAACATGTTTATTATAAATAAAATTTATAATAAATTATATATAAATAAATATTATGTTTGAATATATAAATTATATTTAAAATTAGTATATATAAGTATTTTTAAACATAAATTATATTTTAAATTTATGATAAATAATTTATATTATAAAAATTGTTTATTGATAATTTAGTTAAAATATTAATATTTAATTTATAAATAATTATGATAAATAAAAATTGAATTAGATAAGATGTTAAAAAAAAAGATTTACAAACTTTTTTGTCAAAGAAAAGTTCTTTAAAAACATTTTCGCACACAAGATTAAGAATTGTGTTTAATATATGAAAATTGATGGCTTTGCCCTGGATATAAGTATCTGAATCTTTTGGTTAAAGATCTCATCTGTTAATACAGCAACTAATACAAAGTGGACGAAAGTATGAGCTCCTGTTTCGGGAAGGAATCACGCTTTAAATTTTTAAAATATATATATGATGTATTTTTATCAAATTAAATCTTTCATATAGAAACCCATTGCGTATCTCAAATTTTAAAGGAAATTACTGGATGGCGATGTCATGAAGTTTGGAAGGTCAATTTGTATTACTGGATGTCAATTTTCAGAAAAGTGGTTGTTCCACATTTGTTTTGACACGATTTCTATTATTAAATGTAAAACAGAAATAGAACTATAGAAGTATGAGAAGTATGATTTATAATTTTATATTTTTAATAAATTATAACTGGCAAAAGAAAAAAAAAGGTATTTTATACTTCTGTGAGGTTATTTTTGAAGAGAGTAGTTTTTTTATACATTTCTTTTCTTTTTTCATTCTTAAAAAAATATATTGGTGAAAAAAAGTTAGAATATAAAAAGGTTATAAATATCTTTCACAAAGTGGACACTAAAAAAATAATATCTCTTTTGTATAGTTATTGATTAATAATAAGATGTGATCAGAAGAAAATATATGAGAAGAGAAGATATTGGTAACTTTTCATTAAATTTTAAATCATTTAAATGTATGAGATAATAGAATATATACATCGATATACCCATGTTTAATCATAAAACGCTCTGTATATTATATATGTTAATTTTTAAAATAATTATATTAAAAGTGACACTAATAATAAATTTTACACGAGAATCTATGTCATTAAACTATAAATATATAACTATCATTGTAAATTTCTAATCAAGCCTTCATAGTCACATCTAATTTATAGATATCAGTTATAAAGTTTTAATTTATTCGAACCAAAAGGCATGAAGGGTATCATCTATGAAATAACACGACCAAACTACGAAGTCTACAGAGAAGATTGGGTTCTACGGGAAAGAACCATGTTATTTCTCAATTGTTTTTATTGTTCTTTCTCAATTCCAAAAGCTAAATTATGTGTTCATTACAATCAAAACCTTTGCATGTCTCTAATTATAAATTGCATGATGAAAAAAAAAAACTAATTAACAAGATCATGTAAATACGAAATTATTACATGTTTTATTAAAAAGAATAATTGAGTTAGATGTGTCTCCGAAAATTCAAAAAAGAAAGATGAGAGAAAAGTTTTCATCACATTAAATTTAAGTTCATAATATAGATTAATATATTACAAGCTAATTCATCATATAATTTAAATAGTCTAATAGATGAGGATAGAAATATCCTCATCATTCATCAATTAAATAATATAATTGATGATGCATTCTTGAAAATAAGGACTTATTTTATTATAGATCAATAAAATTTAATTAAATTCCATCCCTTTGGTCAGGAGTTTATGACTTTGTTACCACATCAAATCTTTTATTTCATAAGTGATGTCGAGATCACCAGATATCAATTATCTACTCAGAATAAAGGTTTAATAAAATATTTATCTTATAATTAAGTTATATCAATATTTATCATATAATTAGATTATATCAATAAATATTAACCATAATTGATATATTAATAATTAAAAAATATTTTAAAATAATTAACTAAAATTAATTCATAAAATAGATTGATTAAGTAATTAATATAACGTTTCAGATTTTCAGTCATTTTAGTTTCAAAATAATGTATGGAAAAGGTAAATACAAAATTTTGATCCATGGAATATGCATGGAACAATGATTATTAGCATGTTAAGTAAATCTTGCATCTGAACTCGAGTTATGAAAAGGTGAGAAGGAGATTTGAAATAACTTTGTAAGTCTTGATTCATGATTAACTTATTTTTGAAATTCAACTCACCTAAATTTTTGTCTACTAAAATAATATTAATGCAATTACTTCAATATGTCAATTATTAAATTTTATACATAATTCTTCTCTTTTTCTTCAATAAACATTACTTTCATTGTAGAGATAAAATAATACTTTCAGTCATAATTTCATATTTAAATTAAGAAATATTTTTAGTTATTTGATCTCTTTGTTAATGTAAGATTATTTGATAAATAAATTTATTACTGTTTTTATATCAATATCTATATTATTAATACATAAAAAAAGATACCTTCTTTTATTGTATACAAATTTTAAACTAATTTATTTTTAATTATAAGTATTTTTAGATTATTTTTTCTTTCTTTATCTCTTTTTTTTACTTTAATAATATTTAATTTTCAAATCTCTCTTTCAATAATTGCTAGTTAATAATAAAGGTGATATGTCTTTTTAAAACTATTTTATCCTTATAATCACTTGCAAGTCAATATTCCTTTTTCTAATAATAGTATTATTATATTTAGTTTCTTTTTTCCATCTTTCTCACTTCATGGTGACTAGTATCTCATACTTTGTAACCACCTGCTATAATATTGCTCTTCTTATTTTACTTTTATTTATTTAATAAAATAGATAAATATTCCATTCCTTATGATTATTAACAAAGTTGAATTTCTTCTTTCGCATATATATATTTTATCAGAATAGACTATATTAAAAGAGGAAAAGACTAGTCTTATGATGCGTTCATAGTCCATAATTAAAATTAGTTATTATTTTTTATGATAGAATATTTAATATTAATATTATAATTATTTAAAAAAAACAGTTTAACTAGATATTGTTTCTTATTACTAAAATTAACCACCTTTTTTGTCTTAACTTTTTTTCCCTCTCATTTTTTTTTTTACTTTATAAAACACACATACATTCTTTCGTATTATTTTAGAATTTAGGGTTTAATATTTAAGATTTTCAGAATATGTATTAGTTACTTTATCTGCTCAATAACTTACCCAGTTGCCTAATCAAACTCCCGACTTATTAGTTTTTTTCTTTTCATTAATTAATTCCATTTATAAAACATCTTTAATTCTTTATAGAAGACATTTGTCCTCCACTAGTACTGAGCAAAGACTCAGTAAGCTGCACATGCGTTGACTTGAACTCATGAAACAATAATCAATCACTTTACCCTATCAATCTGCAAAATATGTAGATCTATGCACAACAGCTGCTGGCAGAGCTTCATATAGATGAATCTTTCTTAACCGTTGCTGATCTCTTGGTGGATCCCAATTCTGAAGTGTTGGGCAAAGGTACACATCAACCTTTCTTAACTGTTTTGCTCCTGATTCCTCCCAGATTGATCACTTTTGTCTTGATTATTTGATTCTCTATGTTAGTTTCATTAAGTTACTACTTTTAAATAGTGCTACTTTATAGTCTCGCTGGGTTTTTTTTTCTTAACCACTCCAGAAAACCTCTAACATAAAAAAGAAAAATAAAAAAACCCTTTATGTGCTTCGAAATGTTTGCTTTAGAATTTATGATTTTAATCTTTTCCAACTTGTAATTATCTATATTTGAATTATTTTTACAATCAAACATAAAAAGAATGTTCATCCAATATGCACAAATAATGATCAACTATGTTAGTAGATGGATAAATCATTAGACTTTACATATTGAAATTTGAGAAGTCCTAACAAAACACTCTACCACACTCTTTATAATAATGATAAGCGTAATGGATTTTCTTTTAACCGCATACTTTCATGTTAGTTGAAATTTATTAAAAATTACAAAAATAAAGAGAATGACACACTAAATTAGAAACGAGACCCACAAAGATTTGCAAATTTTTTTTTGGGTTCCATAGATATGATCCACCCAATGTTTCAAAATTAACAACTAAAGACTAATTTGCGTTTTGGATGTGGCTTGTGAGACTAGTATTTCTCTTTAGTTTTGACTAATACATATTCATATTCAATAATACTAAGATGCTTGTTAATGCTTCAAAATTTTATCCCCTAACATGTAGAATTTCAATACTTTGATTTGGTGTATTGTATAATCATAACCTTTTCTTTCAATTTCTTTGTTAATGTATTCTAGGCTTTGAAGTTTCATAATGTCTGGGGTTGAGCTTGCGGGTCCTCTTATTGGAGAGGTGGGAGCACTTGGAGTTGGAAATTTACATAATAAAATTGCATCTAAAATTGCATCTTCTAAAAGCCTTGATGACAACTACAACAGTTTGGTCAAAGATACGGAGATGCTACTTGCAATAAAGAAGGATAAAGAGTGGGAAGTTCAAAGAAACGGCCACAAAGATACCACTAATGCTTATAAACTGTGGGCAAATAGGGTATCAAATGCTGTTGAAGAAGTACAGAAGCTGAAAGATAAATACGAAGGAAAAACGCTACCCTTTTGGCACATTCAAAAACGTTCACGTCTGAGTGAAGAGATGCAGAAGAAGTGCAACTTTGTTCTTGAACTTATGAGGGATGAATGTTTAAGAGATTTTCTAGTTGATAAACCACCTGAGCCTGTCTTAAAGGAGTTAAATGTTCCACAGATAAGTGGATATCCAACCCTTCAGGGTGCCTTGGAAGATATTTTGGGTTTGCTCAAAAATAATAAGATCAAAGTCATTGGAGTGTGTGGAACAAAAGGGGTGGGGAAAACGACAATATTGCGGAACCTGAACAACCATGAAGAGGTTGCTAAACTGTTTGAAATTGTCATCTTTATGAAAGTTACTTCTGATAATGATAAGCTTCAAGAGAAAATCGCTAATAGGTTGATGCTGGACATAGAAGCCAACAAGGAGCATAGTAGTGATGATGTTGCAAGAAGAATACACAAAGAGCTGGAGACAAAGAAGTATTTGTTGATTTTGGATGAGGTTGAAAATGTCATCAATTTGGAGCAGTTGGGAATTCCAAGTAATAATAATGGAAGTAAGGTGGTGATTGTCACTCGATTACCTATGGTTTATAAGTTGAGTAAGGTACAAAGGGTCATCAAAGTCATGGAGCTATCTCCTGAGGAAGCATGGAAGATGTTTAGAGACACTGTTCGTGCCTTCAATCCTAAGATTGATTCCCCTGACATTCAACCTATTGCCAAACTTGTATGCAAGAGGTGTTGTCGTCTTCCACTTCTTATTTACAAAATAGCAAATTCTTTCAAATTGAAAGAGTCTGCTCCTAGTTGGTGGGTGGGACTTGAAGATCTTAAACCATGGCCACAAATTCAAAATCAAGGTCTCCAAGAGTTGTACTCATGTCTGAAATTCTGTTACGATGAACTGAGAGATAAAAAGAAGCAAAAATGTTTTCTATACACTTCAATGTATCCTGCGGATTGCAAGGTTTACACTGATTATTTAGTGGAGTGTTGGACAGCACAAGGTTTACTTGGTGATATAAATAACAAAAGGTCATATCGAAGTGCACGCAATTGTGGTATTGACATATTGGAACATCTTGCTAATGTCTCTTTACTAGAGAAAGGAGAAGCCATGATATATGTCAACATGAATGATTGTATGAGACAACTTGCACTGCACATATGCTCTAAAGATCCTGAGTGTAGTTTTTATCTCCAAGATGGTGAAGAATATGAAAATCTCTCAAATTCAAGAGCTTGGCAGCAGGCTAGGTGGGTCTCTATGAGACAACTGATTGATTTACCAACAAGCCAAGATTGCAGCATGATTTTGACACTGTTGCTGCGAAAAAGTCCAAATCTAACTACAATACCACAAGCTTTTTTTGAGAACATGAATGGTCTACTTTTATTAGACTTGTATTGTAGCAAGATTACAAAGTTGCCACCATCTCTCTCAAAATTAACTGGTCTAAGGAGTTTATTTCTTAACAGTTGTGAGCTCTTGGAATCATTGTCACCTGAAATAAAATCACTTCAATTTCTAGAGGTTCTTGACATCCGAGATACCAAAGTAACTTTCCTACCTTTACAAATTAGATGTTTGACCAATCTAAGATGCTTGCGAATTCCATTCATTGCAAGTGATGCACAGAATGGAGCTCAAAATGTTGATGTGATTTCAAAGCTTCATAGGTTGGAAGAATTAACCATTCAAGTCATATCCTATGAACAATGGTGCAATGATGCTGAAAATGTACTGCAACATGTGGCTGATTTGGAAAATTTAACTCATCTCAGGTGTTGTTTTCCTTCCTCAATCATTCTTGGACAATTTCTTTCACGAAGTAAATCATGGAAGAATTGTGAGCAGCAAAATTCATTTAGATTCTTTGTGGGATGTCAAGACTCAAGAAGACCTCAAATACTTGAATCTTCTGAGTATAAGATTACTAGTTATTTGAGGTACTGCAATGGTGGACAGAAGGATGACTCAAAAATTACTGAGGTATTCTCGAAAGCTGATGCACTTGAATTAGTTTGCCATAAAGATATCAAAAAATTGTCAAATTTTGTTGGCATAGTGTGTTTGGAACGTATTCGTTGTCTTTCCATTGAAAGATGCAATAAAGTTTTAACAATTGTGTCAGCTGATACAAGTGGCAATATTATGAATGGAATCCAAACAGAAACAAGAGCCATCTTGCCAAATTTGGAGCAATTATATTTGGAAAATTTGCTCAATCTAAAATGTGCTTTTAGAGGTCCCTTGCACATTGGAACATTTTCCAAATTACAAATTTTATCATTGAAGAATTGTCCATCACTGAATGAAATTTTTAGCAATGGAGCAATTCAAAATTTTTGTGAACTTCAAAAGTTAAAAATTGAAGATTGTTCAAAAATTGAAGAACTTATCATACTAAGAGAAGACGTTGAAGGAGAAAAGGAGGTGCTTCCAAAACTAGAGATGCTTTTGTTGGTTAACTTAGCTGACTTAAAAATTATGTGCTCCAACCATACATTAGCTTGGTCCTCTCTAGAGCTGTTGAGGATTCATAATTGCCCAAAGTTGAAAACTTTACCGCTACACACTAAGAATGCAGCCAACTTGAAGACTATTAAAGGCCAACTTGAATGGTGGAATGAATTGGATTGGACAGACGATGTTGAAGTTTATCAGCGATTGCATCCCATCTTTGTCGCCTCAAATGAGTATTTTCCTTAGATATCTTCTTTCATGCTTGTAATCCCTCTTAAATGTCAAAATAAGATGAGTTTATTTGTCTTTCTATATAGTTTATTGTTAGAAACTAAAGAAAAACAATGGTTTGGATTGTATTATTTTATACTTTGTTGTGTGTTTGAAGATTTGTGACTAAAAGCTTGTTCTAGAATATAGAGTTATAATTAAGTCAGGAAAGAGAACCAATAATGATTTATATTTTCATAGTTTATTGCAAGAAAGTAGAGAAAAATGTCTTGAATTGTATTATTTTATGGTTTGTTGTGTATTTTGAAATTTGTGACTAAAAAGTTGTACTAGTTTATAGATATGGTGTGACACCCTTCTACCCTAGAAGATATAAAAAAATAATAACAAAATTTTTATAAAAATAAAAATAACTTATAATAACTCTCCTCGTGGAATGTTGGAAAACGGTTCACATCTTTATTCATCATTTGAAATAAAATATATAAAACATTGTTTCAAAAGAAATAATAATAATCTTTTAAATCAATAAAGTTCTGGTAATAAAGCACATTTAAATAGAAGTTCAACTTGTAAACCAATACTAATCTTAAAACTCATTCTCAATATCTTAATATCAGAGCAAGACCTTTCTTTATACTTCTTTTTCCTCAAAATGCTGTGTGTTTGAAAATTTGTGAATAAAAGGTTGTACTAATTTATATGCTTGTGCCGAGTCAATTGGAATGTGAAAGATAATATTAGGTTGAAAGAGAACTAATAATAATTTATCTTTAAACTCATGAGAAAATAAACAAGTGTAAATACAACTATCTTATCATAAATTACTATGTATGATAAATTTGTTAATTTTTATAGTAATTATTTTAAAATTGGTATAAAATAACAATATTATTATTAAACTCTAAACTTATGTTACTTCTTTTTTTACGTATTGAAGACCTCATTCGTTAGCCTCCGTAAAATTAGAGAGCTTGGAGAACAAATCTATGAAGTAAAAGATGTAACAACATATCTTAATAGGTATAAGTAGTTCTCCCATTAGTAGTTTATAGGTATATCTTAGAATATATCTTATGAACCCTTTTGTTTGGGTGGTGTTGGTTAAAGGGAGAAAGAGGGTGTGGTTTAATACATAAAAAAGCTTTGTGGAAGCGTTGAGAAGAATCATGACTCTTAGAATGCAAGGAATACACAATTCATGATTTTAAAGCAAACTACTTCAATAAATGTTTTATTTATGATCAACATAGACGTTCTGGAATTGATAAAATATATCAAATGATTTTGCAATGGCTGCTTCCAATGTTCATCCACATTTTTGCATGCAACTTCTTTGTTGTGCATATAAAATGTGCAAATGTTTTTGTTAGGACACACCTTATGTTGCTTGACTTTACTAATAAAGGTTTCTTTGCTATTAAAAAAAGGTAGTTATATCATTAAAAGGGTCTAAATTATTACTCAAAATTAAATAATAGCTGTGTAAGAAAAGGAATCGACCCATTTATCCTTGCAAATTGCTGACCTTACATGTGAATGATGAGAACTGGTGCCTTAGTGCCTCGGTTATGTTTTGCTATTAGACCACAGGCTAGGCATATGATGTTCACACAATCAGACTTGTAATTTTACTTTACGTACATGAATACTACTCATATGAGAGCCTTATTAATTTTTAGGTTTAAAGTGCATTTGATCCCATGCAGTATTCATGTGATTTTAGTCTCTTGGTTTTTAATTTTTTAATTTTAGTTTTTTAATTTTTTTAAGGGATTCTTTTAATTTTTTAAAATTCATTTAGTCCAAAAGGAGCCAAAGCACCCAACTTAAAAATCTCTATATCATGTTACACGAGAATCGGGTAAAAAATTAAAAACCAGAACAACTACACTAATCACCCGAACACAAGGAAAGAGCTCCTTAACTTCTTGAACCATTGAGAAACATGGATGCAAAACATCACATCCCTCTAGATCAATCTGACAGCTACTTGAGAATCAGATTCGAATCAAATGTGGTTAAAACCTCTGCCTCCATCCTGCTAATGCATACCCTTCCTGATTCCCCAAAAGCTACGCAAGAGTAATATTAAAGCAACCAATAAAATGAGAAAAGCCAAGATAAATTCTGACATATGATTACAGCAGACACCACCACATGCCACCTTCCAACTAAATGTATACACAGTACCATCACATTGACCTTAACAAAATTACGGTATGGAGGAAACCATGATACCAACTACAGGTGAAACCATTTGATACCAATTACAGGTGAAGTAACGATCTTTTATTCTAAGAGATTTCAAAAGTCAAACTAGACATCACCTACTGTCCCATGACTCTATTTCTAGAAATCGTGACTCTGGATTGGCTCCCATCTGTCTAAAAATCCAATTCTTATGCCTTTGCCAAATACAATCCAAAGTTATGGCAAAAACAAGGCTCAGTTCTCACCAACATGCATATTACAATTAGCATTAAAATTAAAGACTAAAATTGCAAAAATTAAAAATGGGGAACCAAACGATATCATAGGGAGATCAAAAATGCAATGAGCATAAAAAATTAATTTAAGAGTATAAGTCTGTCTAAACAATATATGAAATTATATTTGTATGAGTAAAAAAGAATATATATATATATATATAT